TGCTTTCCAGTCGCTTCTGACTTGTTGCAACCCCTTTTGTGACAGAGTAGACCTTCCCCATCCACTGTCATCTTTTGGGGAGCAGATCACCAAGCCTTTCTCCTAGGGAGCTGCTAAGTATGTTCAAACCACTCACCTAATTTAGTTAGCAGCCAAGTGACTAACCACAGTGCACCACCACATATAATGAACAGAGAGAATTGCTGACTACTTAACATAGTGGCACATTTTAGTGAACATTGTGTATCAACTAGGAAAAGGAAACACATGGACGTATTCACTGACAGAGCCGGATTCTGACCAGCCAGGACGGGGACTGGAACCGTGCTTAGAGACTATTCTCTCTGAAAGCACTATTTTCTCTTGAATTCCTCAGAGTTTTAACGTAATCATTAAAATGGTGACTTTGAAAAGGCACACTAAAAAATATCCACACAAAGAAAGCAAAAACTGGTCTGAATATTCCTCTTTTTAGATAAATATGTCATGAGACAGGAAGTGGCACCGAAATCTTGCTCAATTACTTAGATATATGCTGGCCTAGTTGAAGGAGGGGAGTTACCAGAAATGTTCAGCTGAGGAGTGAGTTGTTTGTCTTCACAAAGAAAATGCATCACAACTAAGCATAAATATCTGTCTGTTTGGAATTGCTTACTCGTCCATCTCAGTACCAAAGAGGGGCTCACAAATGTGGCTTATTTAGCAAATACCTTTTTGGGGCGAAACACTGAATGTGAATGCTTTCATGAAACATGACAAGATGGTGACAATTATAATGAAGTTTGATTGTTGGATAACGAGTTGATTGTGGGTGCTCTGAGTCACTTGAGTTTCAGTTCATTCACATGTGATAAAAATTACAGTTTTAGTGATAAAATACAAAACCAAACCATTCATCTTCCTTTTTTCACTGTATAAGCCTTTGAATAGATCCCTAAGATAAGATTCTAACCAACAGATACAAAAACTACCCACCATGCAAAAAAGTGAAATGAACTCTCAGCAAAACGACACTGATGGAAATCTTTAGCGTCTGTAGCCTGATACCATGGTAGCACACCAACGTTTTGGCAACATTATGAAAAACAATCTTCAGTATCAATCACTTTGCTGGAGTGATACTTTCTGCTTACTTATTATATGCACAAGAGAGCTCTGGTGGCTTAGTGGATAAGGCATTTGGCTGTTAACCCAAGGTTGGTGGTTCAAACCCATCGGCTGTTCCGTGGAAGGAAGATGAGGCAATCTACTTCTGTTAAGATTTATAGCCTTGGAAACCCAATGGGGGTCACTATGAGTCAGAATCAGCTCGATGGCAGTGTTGGGATCTGTACAAAGATCGGTTCTAAGGATCTTACCTGTTTAATCCTTACAGTAGTACTGATGTGTTGTCAGTTATTATCTACAGATGAGGAAACTAGGGCATCAAGAGGTTAAATAACCTACCATAGATCATTCAGTTGATGGCAGATTTGAACTCAGACTGCCTGACTCCAGAGCTTGTGCCCTTAATTGCCATGTTACTTGCAGCTTTGGGGTGGAGTCATGGGTGGAGTTATTGCCTGTCTTAGTTTCTGTTATGGATTGAATAGTGACCTCCCCAAAATCGGAGATGTAAATCCTAACCCAAATACCTGTGGTTACAATTCCATTTGGGCCTGGGTTTTCTTTGTTATGTTAATGAGGCAGTATTTGGGTAGGGTGTGTTTTAAATCAATCTCTTTTGAGATGGAAAGAGCAGATCAAGCAGAAAGCAAGCAAATGGGGAAGGGAAGATGCTCCCAACAAGATCACAGAGGAATAAAAACTGTGAAGAGACCAGGACCTTCTCCCTGAGCAGGGAGACACACACACACACACACACAGAGCTTCCCCTCGAGTCAGCACCCACAGTTCAGACTTCTATCCTCCTAAACTGAGAGAAGACAAACTCCTGTTCATTAAAGCCACCCACTTGTGGTAATTCTGTTACAGCTTGTTGTTGTTATGTGCCATCGAGTTGGCGACCCCTCCTTGGGTTTCCGAGGCAGTATCGCTACAGAAGTAGATTGCCCCATCTTCCTTCTGAGGAGAGGCTGGTGGGTTTGAACCGCCAGCCTTCTGGTTAGCAGTCAAGTGCCTTAGGCACTATGCTACCAGAGCTCTGTTATAGCAGCACTAGATGATTAAGACCATTTCCTAGGGCTGCCATCACAAAATACCACAAAGTGAGTGACTTTGAAGAACAGAAATTTATTTTCTTACAGTTTTGGAGACAAAAAGTTGGAATTCAGGGCTTCAGTAACACTGAGCTCTCTCTCTGCTCACTCTGAGGGAAGATCCTGCCTGTCTCTTTCAGCTTCTGGTCGCCCTGGGCATTTCTTGGTGTTCCTTGACTTGTGGATGGATCCGCAGATGGTATCTTCCCCTGTGTGTGACTCTTTCTCTTTCTCCTCTCCTTTTATAAAGTAGCTCTCAGAACGAACAGGACTAGGACCTACCTTACTTAGGTATGAGTTAACTGATAATCTTTTCCAAGAAGCACCCCATTTCCTTAAACAAGGTCACAAATTGGCTACAGGGGTTAACACTTCAACAAAATTTATAGGGGACACAATCCAACTCATAATATTGCCGCTTATATATTTGTAGGTTTGAGTTCTAAACATACTGTAACAAGAAGAGGGAAGGAGAAATCACTCATTTTGATGTATACAGTCAGTTATTTTCCAATTTAGCCCAATTTTCCAAAACTGATTATCTCCACAGTACATCTTGACCATTAAGAAAGATGTGAGAACATTCTTTTCCTTCCCAAAATTAGGAAATATAAAAGTGTTCTTCTGATATTTACACATGAATATATCAAAATATCAAGCAAATTTTACATGAATTTTTAAGACAAAATATGAGTTGTTACACTGCAGCAGGCCATCAGGCGCCACTTCTCCAGGCTCCCTGGATGGGAGTTTACTGCCCACCTTCCTTCAGGGCTGCTTTGGAGGATGAGGAGTGGTGTTCACACTTGACAGTGTACTCTATGTCTCAATTGTAATACAAAACTTCCAAATCACTGCCTTGGGAAAAAGCAGCTCTGTAACTCAGAGGAATCTTTTATCTTCACCATCATCAATAATCAATATGTACTATGCATCTAATACAGGCAGAGAAGAGAATGAAAGGCCTTACAAATCTAACATGATATTTGAGCCCCTCTAAAGCAATTTCAAATGCAGTATGTCCAGAGAGTGCCTCTATCAGTGGGCACCCTAGATGACATTTCCCTCTGAATTTCTCAGAATGAATACTTAACAGTGGAAAAATGAAGGTATTCAATTCTCAAGAAAGCTACTGAATCCTTCTGCAAATTTCTGGGACATACATAGGACCTGTTACGCACTTGCATGTGTGTATGCATGCATGTGTGTGTGTGTGTATGTGTTTCTGAAAAAAAGCATTTAAATACAGACAGGTACAAAAGATAATAAACCAGCTACTCCTATACTCAATTTCCCAATTAAACACTCTAAATATTTTGTTGTTTTTGCTTCATCTTTTTTAAGGAAAAGATCAAATAAAATTGAAACTCTTTCTTCTCCAATCATTCCCATAGTTACGGGTAAAGTTCATGCTTTTATCTGCTATATAAATTACCTAGAAAAAATATTAAATATTGTTTTGTATATTTTTGAGAGTTATGTTAGTAATACAATTCTGCATATAATAATTTGCAACAATATTTCCCATTCAGCATTGTTTTGCAGTCTGCCCTAGCTGATCTATATAGATTATTCTTTTGAACTGATGTTTGATGTATCATCATGTGTGAAATAAAATTATGGTTATTTCCAATTTAAGATAGTAAAAATGCTGTAATTAATGTTTTTATGTGCATATGTGAAAATGCATACAATGTATAAACATAAAAGTGGCAGCACTCATAGTTTATGTGTGTGATTAGCTGTTTTTAGGTGCCATTGAAAGGATTTCAATTCATAGTGACCCCATGTTGCAGAGCAGAGCCACCCCTAGGGTTTCCCAGGCTGCAGTCTCTATGGGCACAAATCAACAGGTCTTTCTCCCCCCACACATATGACAATATTATGTGGATGATTTGCATGCATTGCATATTTATGAAAAATGTCATTTGATGGAATGATTCCTTTTTTCTAAGAAGTCATACTAAATTTTATATTATTCTACAAGAGCAACGGTTTAATTTTTTTCTCCTCAATAAGTTGGCCTGTCAAGCTGCAGAGAGAACATCCTTTATCCTAGTGTCTTTCTTATCTGCCATAAATATATAAATTTCACCAAAGTAATCCTCCCTAGAGTTGGATGGCATTTTATCTTTTCACAATTTTTTATTTAAATGAAAATAAGCCATCAAGGGTGGGAAAAGGGAATGAGATACTTGTGCAGCAATGACATCAGCAGAGAACAAAGGCATTTGGGCAACACTGTCAATATTGGGCCGCAGACAGTGAGTCAAAAATGCAAAAAAAAAAAGAGAGAGATTACGTGTTTTTAAAAGGAGATGAAAGAGTGCCAAAAACCCGACTTGATCTTCCTCACCATTTATTAGAGTTAGAAACTTTGCAAAAATGACATGTCCATCTCAGTTACCCTTACTGTGAACATCAGTGAAGAAAGGAGAACACTCCCTATAAACTTTGAAGGTCTTTGTGTAGGAAAACAGATTTAATCATTCTTGAGAAAAGAAGCAAGTTAAAAATAAATTCTCAAATCTTATCATATTTCCTGTTACCAGCTCATTTCAATTACCTGGCAACATTGTTAGTATCATTTTATGAGCAGACTATGGTAGAAGTTAGTCCCCAAAATTTCTAGAACATTCTCCTAAAAATTATTCCTGTGAATTTTTTGTTTGACTGCTAACGTTTGTGTTTACTTTTTGAAAAATTATTTCCCCTTTTAATTAAAGAATGCTTCGCTCAGCATAGGCAATTTATCTTTATGCTAATTTTTGTTTGTACTTCATGCTTTCTCTTTTCCTTCAGCTGATTGGGGACTGAAGGAGCTGAAATGAGAAAAAGGCAGCAGACTCAAAATGAAGGAACCCCTGCTGTGTCTCAAGCACCTGGAAACCAGAGGCCCAACAACACGTGTTGCTTTTGCTGGTGTTGTTGTTGCAGCTGCTCCTGGTAAGTCTTCTTGTCCATATGATACTACACCTCAGCTAGGTAATAACTAGAATGAACACACATGTCAGTTCCTGGGATCATAGAGACATCTCAACATGTCTTTTTTTTTTTTTTTTCTTTTCATGCAGGAATTGCTGAATATGATGACTGGTTTAATGTAAAAAATTTCACAGGCAAAATAGAATATTTGTACAGAATCTACATTTAAATCAATAGTAAAGAATGAAATAAGTGTTCACATCATGTTCTTTTCCATTCATGTTTCTTAAAGATATGGATAAAAATAAGATTATGGTTATATATATATATATATATATTAGCAGTAAACAATTGTCTCCAATGTTACAGAATATGCAAACATATTAAGATAATATCATGAATGTAATTTTGCAGTGATGGGCTGTTTCATACGTTTCTGTCATTCGGTTGCATAACTAGCTAGTGATGGATCAGAGCGGCAACCTCAGCCACAGATCTCCAGCCAATAAGGATGGAGAGACAAGTGCTGCCAACTCATGCCCACAATCTAGGAGGTCAAGGACTGTATGTAGTCTGAAGGCCAAAGCAGTTCATGAAAAATGCTAAAATTAGAGCCAAAGAACCTGCTTTCCTCTATGATTTTATGACATTGTGGAAAATCTTGTTCTCTGTGTTCTTCACCTTTCTCATTGGCAAAATAGTGAAGAATGGACATGCTGCTTCCCAAGTCTCTTCTACTACTACTACGCCCAGGATTCAGGCACCCCAGAGAACCCACTGCAGTTCCAGAGTCCCAAGATAACTTTGAGTAAGGAAGTAGGTAGGTCCCAGAGTTCCAAAATTTATGCAGCTAGCAGTCCCCAGGGGGATGCTAGACTTAGTGGAACTTTCCGTAGAACTACAGTTTTGGGGTCCTTTAAGATTCAGTTTTCATGATAGATCCTCTGGACTAGCCGTGATCTTCTGAGTCTTCCTGAACTATTTCAAAATCTTAAAGAAAGGCCCAGAGATTTGAGTCCTCTTCTTGGGTATGACCTCTCCAGTGTCCTGACACCCTTTGGGGTTATTTTTATGATATGGTAGCATACTATTGTATCATTGTGGCCAAAATAGAAGATGAAAAGTATTATGCAATAATAGAATCCTTGATGATGAACAAGCCCTCATCCATTCTAGAAAATTCCAGTTCTAGAAATCTATCAGATACCATAGCAATTTGAAAAGTTTAAGGTAGTTCTGATCTATCTTTCTAGTAGTTCTGAAGTCAGACTAGTCTTAATATGTCACTACCTGTGTCATGTTCAACAAGTTACTTAATCTCTCTGGTCCTCAGTTTCCTCAGCTGTGAGATGGTGATAATAAACATCCCCAACTCATAAGGTGGTTGTAAATATTAAATGAGAAAATACACAGAAAGGCCTCAGAAAAGTGCCTGATGAATAGTTAGCATTGGTAAGTGTTAGCTCATTGGGCTATGGAGCACCTCCTACTGGGATAAGATCCCTTCAAAGAGAAGCAATGGATAAAGAGGAAACAACTGATTAAAAACAAGGTGAAAGTAAAATGATCTTGAACTATAGATTTTAATTGTGACCATTTGCATTCTTGCAAATGAAGATGCCCTTTACACATGCATTTTTGAAATAAAATTATTTTTATACTTTGAGCTGAGGGGAAAAAATGTATATATAAAGGCTTATTTGAGTGGAAAGGGAGGAAGGAATTTTTTTTTTCAAATTTTCCAGGCTAGTTCAGAGGAGCAGAACAAAAAGAAACACTAGAAAATGCAAGTTAGAGACAAAAAATAGTTAGAAATCCAAATATAAAGTGATTGTCATTCGTGAATAGGAGCAGTTGTCATGTAGCTGAATTTATTTCCTTTTAAGGAGATAGAGTGCTAGGGATATAAAGTTCTCCATCTAGTAATAAATATCAAAAGTTACCAAACTTTGTATGTTGTCATTTTTTTTTATATTTCCCTCAAGTTTAATTTTCCCATTTATAGTTCACTGTCAGCTCTTCTCCCATTTTTCAAAATTTATTCTTTGTCCTTATAAAATTGCCACTAATTATTTTGAGGGATGATAACAGAGTACATAACTGCTGATTATTTCCACAGTTTTCTTCAAAATTCTCAGAAGTTTGTGTATGTTTCATAGTGAGTTATTAAACTAGCGAGTGCTCTCTCCCTGACAAGGAAGCAACTTCTTCCCTGAAGTAGCCTCCGCTTCAAGAAGAGAAAACAAGTCAGTGAGCTCCAGACCATCTTCACCTGTCTTACAGAAATGGGTAAAAGATGCCTTAGTTTAGCCTGCACAGTCTATAAGTCTGTATACATGGACTTCCTTCTATACATGGAACTAAACCATTTCTGCCCAGGTGAAGGGAGAGTTTTGACAAGACCACTTGTCTAGAGGATGAAGGCTGAGACTGGCAAAACTTAATGCTTCTCTCCTGTCAGGATTCAAATCAAATGATTTGTCTCTTCACCTAGTAACCCTCTTACCTTCTCTTCTTAAAGAAAGAAACTTTTAAAAGATGTGGACTCCCGACAAAGCTGCCACTGGCCAGCACAGCGTGAGTCGGTGAGGCTGTTCAGGTGCACATGAGGGGGCACGCATGAAAGTCCATAGTAACTAGAAACTGCTGTGCACTCACAAAAACGGGGTGCATCAAAAGGAAAGAAGAGGGGAGAGATGTCACAGTTTATTTTGAGTTTAAATCTAATTTCTAAATTGTCCCAGTAACCCTCCTGTAACATTAGAAGTTAAATTAAAATAACCCAGGATACTTTTTCAAATAAAATCTTTCCATGATAACCCCTCTTTTAATACCTGGATGCCTCTGGTGGTGTCTCATCAAACAAGAAACATTTCCACATGTTTAGTTGTAAAAAAAAAAAAAAAAAATTAGAACCTAAGAGACCTCAACTATCATTTCTCCACAGTATTCATACTGCACTTAGCTTGCATGGTGGTGAGGGGATGGATTGGGAATCATGGAGTACAGAAATAGTACTGGCTGCTTCCCTGAGCTCCCCACTTACATTTTCTAAAGAAATTTTTGCAATTTACATGATTAGACTTAGGTGTAAGCATTCATATGAAGAAAAAAAAAAATAAAATCCTTGCAATAAAAAATGGAAAATGTAGTTTCTAATTTTACTACATTTTGTAGTAAGGTGAGGAAACCGATACCTTGTTACTGTTACTGGGCTCATTAGTGATAGGGACAGGACGAACATACTAGAATATACTATATTTATGTCCATAGTATAGAATAGTCTTCATTTCAGTCCATTATTCTTTCCACTTTAATATGTTTATCAGTCAAGGTTCTCCAGAGAAACAACATAAATAGAAGAGATACTTGCCACAGACAGATAGATGGATAGATAGATAGATATTTGTCTCAAGTGTTTGTAAGAGCTGGCAAGTCTGAAATTCATAGATCAGGCAGGAGGCTGGAAACTTGGGGTGTCCTGAATCCAAAATCCACAGGCGAGCAGGCTGGAAACTCCAGTCGGATACCTTTGTTATAGTCTTGAGCGATACCTCTCCCAGAGAAACCTCAGCTTTTGCTCTTAAGGATGAGCCCCACCCACATTATAGAAGATAATCCCCTTTACTGCAAGTGGCTGATTGTAGATGACAAACACATCTCATCTAATTACCTTCACAGCAACATCTAGACGAGTGTTTAACCAAACATTTGGACTCTATTGTCTAACCAAACAGACACACATAATTAGCCATCAAAATATGATACTCCAAACTTTTCATTTCCATGTTTGATATGAACCATTTCCAAAGCTTCTTACTTTGTAGACACTTCAACAAGTGTAGCAAATATAACTTCTCAAATTCTACAAGATTTGGCCCACTACACCAGATTCTTCAATCTTCTCAGGAAGATTGGTCATAGACTGAATTTAGTAAATTAACTAGCCCTGTGAAAGCTAAAATTGTCTTCCTTTAGGACACATTAGTCAACAGCATTCCCAGGCCATGAGCTCAATCTCAGGAAATCTGTGTTAAGCATTTTAGAAACATGCTTTTGGTTGGCCCCTCCCTCCATTTTTAACAAGCACCACAACTTCTCTAATTCAAATCACTATAAAAATAATGTCCCATTTTATCCTCTGATGCTGTCACACTTTAGCTCCCTGCCAATGAAAATAATAAGAAACAAGCTTTAAAAGTCAAAGATATTTTTTGAAAGGAAAAACAATAATCCGTGTCTACTCTGTGGTGAAGAAACCCCTCCATAGAAATTAAACTGCTCCCACGTTCCAAATTAATCATTTAATCTGAAGCAACAAACCAAACCCACTGCTACTGAGTCAATTCCGACT